TCCGTGCCATGTACCTGCTGAATTCTGTGGTTCAGGCTGTGCAGATTGTTGTGTTAATCCTCAGATCAGTTTTCTAGGTGTGAAGGATGGTTTAGTGTTGGTCTGGCTGTATTTCATGGATGTGAGACACACAAAAAACCTCCATGCTGTTCTGCCATCTTGGCTCCTCCCCAAAGTCATTTTTTTTAAAGTAAAGTCTCTAGGGGGTGCCTGGGTGGCTCAGTAGGCTAAGCATCCTACTCTTGATTTCAGCTTAGGTCATGGTCTCATTGTTTGTGAGTTCGAGCCCCAAGTTGGGCTCTGTGCTGACAGCTTGGAGCTTGCTTAGGATTCTTGCTCTCTCTCTCTCTCTCTCTACCCCTCCCCTGTGCTCATTCATGCTCTCTCTCTCCCTCTCTCTCAAAATAAATAAACTTAAAAAAAGAGTAAATTTTCTATAGTTTTACAGAAACTTACTTAGATCACTTTCTCCCAAGTGGATTGCTAAGTGATTTCATATTTAATAGTCTCACCTTACTTTCTAAAGATAAAATAAGGTAGGGTGGGACTCTACAATATTTGAGCTAACTTAACTTGATTCAAAGAGTGTGAATTTGACAAATAAGTCACATTCTCTTTCATTCCCTCTCTGCAATCTCACTTTCAGAAGGAAATGAGCTCACCGTATAGTTAAGTCTGTTTTCGCGTAGCCATCATACTGAGTGCTTCTCTGCAGAGCGTGCATATCCAGCTCAGGACTTCCACAGACCAGAATTTCAACCTCTTCTGGACGAAGCAGCTGCCGACAGTCATTTCCCCAAAATAATAATAAAAAGTGATGATTAAAAAAGTGAAATTGGAACTATCTTCCCTGAATCAAATTACAAAACATGTCTTCTAGTAAATCAAGCCATTTTTGTTAAAGAAAAATCTCCATTTTTATTTTTCTACCGAGGTTAAGATATTTTTGATTCTGCAAGTTTATAAATCTTGTCAAACTATTAGGCTCTCCCTTTTGCAAATAGTAATTAGCTGTTTGCCAGAAAAACAAGCAGATGACTAAGCATGAATCCAAATTACAATTCTCCCCCCACAGCCTGCTTGAAACTCTGAGTTACTCCAGCCTCCTCCCGATACCCCACGCACCTTCTAGGTGCATGCAGAATTTGGGTACTTGGGTTACAGTCTGTCTCATGTCGCCTACTTGTTTTTTCACCCATATAAGTTGTCTCCCACCTAAAGAGATTAAAACTTAAGAACAGAGACCATGCTACGCCATTTCATTCTTATTTTCCCTCCTTCCACCCCCACAACTACCAGTGCGTCACAGCCAAAATCCACTTAGAACTCAATAAAGTGCTCCATTTTCAAAGGTGTTTTTAACAACAAGTATGTGACAAAGGTTACTCTAAAACAAGCTCTCTTCTATAAAAATAACTCAAATGGAAGACCTTACTCCAAACCCTCATAATAAAACCGAGGGGAGATACAAGTGGCATGATGCAGTGCACCCTACGTAGCTTGGGTGGAGAGCAGTGCTTCTTTAGAAAGCTATGCTTTTATCTTAGGATATTTCCGACACAGTGTTCTATATAGCAGCTGACCCATATTCACATAGCTAAGGCAAGCCAAACCAACGAGAGTTCATCATGATTCTGAAGACAAACTATTTCCTATGGGTAAATGATAACTCCAAGCTGCAGCCAGAAGCAGTTTCAATATGTTCCTTAATCAGAAGAAGTTGTGGCTTTCGCCCGGGAGCTTGTGTTGACTCCGTTAAGACCTTGAGCCTATGGGATCTCTTCATCTACTCTTGAGGAAAATTCTTAAAGCCCCAAAAGAGACAGTATAAGACACAGCACAAGGAAAGAAAAATAGAGTTGACTGGCCTTTTTTCCTATTAGAGAATTAAGGCTGAAATGAGAAAACTCTTTTTATTTCTAGCTCTACCTTTAAAAAGTAGAAATTATTTTCTATTTTAGAAGCTTATCTATTAAAATACTTAAGGACTTATTTGTCAATATTATAGTATTACAAAACCTAATTAAAAGCCTAAGTTAGTTTTAAACTCACCATCAGGGCATTTGAAGCACACACACTATGAAATCCATAATAAAATGCAGCAAACTGCTTATAGATGGATTTGTTGAGAAGAAAGTCAACATAAAGCTGTACATATTCTGGAAAGCAATTTTACATCTGTTAAACAGTAAAAGTAAATGGTAAACATTAATGCATTTTAATTAAGAAATGGTGTCTAACTTACCTTTCCTATTTTGATTGGTAACTGGAATTTTATCACCACCTGGCTTTAAATTATAGGACTTAATTATTCCAAATTCTTCTTGAAAAACCTGATGGGAGATTCCAACACACGATATTTATTGCTATGGTTAATTTAATAGTAGGATCCAGTGAACTGGTCTGTGACATTTAAGAACAGTTTTCTTCCTGGTTTTAAATATAGAAACTACAGGGACAAATCCTCTCTGTTGAATACAGTTAAACACCTAACAGCTGTTCATAAACTTGTGTGGCCATTTAGATAATACACAGGTCTTTGGAGCTTTTGGAGCTATGTGGATTACTCTGATTTCCATCTCCCAATTATTGTTAGGGGAATGGAAATGAGACCATTTTGGTCTGAACCATTAGTTCCCGCTTCTAACTTTTTTCTTGTAAATATTTAGTCATTTTTGAGAGGTGGTGGCGGGGGGGGGGGGGGGGGGGGGGGGGGGGGGGGGGGGGGGGGGGAAGGGATGAGAGGGGAAGGGGCAGAGAGAGAGGGACAGAGGATCTTAGGCGGGCTCTGTGCTAACAGCAGCAACAGCAAGACTAATGTGGGGCTTGAACTCACAAACCGTGACATCATGACCCAAGACGAAGTTAGATGCTCAACTAACTGAGCCACCCAAGTGCCCCATGCTCCTATCTTCTTGTATGAAGCTAAAATAGAGGCTTATTTTTATTTTTGTTTGAGAGAAAGAGAGAGCATGCGTGCACAAGACAGGCAGGGGCAAAGAGAGAGGGAGAGAGAGAATCCCAAGCAGGCTCTGCACCACCAGCCCAGAGCCCGACCTCATGAACCATGAGGTCATGACCTGACCCGAAACCAAGAGCTGGATGCTTAACTAACAGGGTCACCCAGGCTTCCCGTTTGTTTCTTTTAGTTTTTATTAGGAGAGGCTTATTTTTAGAAGCTGAAAACTGTGAAAAAGTAACTGAGTCAAGGAAATATGACAGTTGTCTAGCAGAGTCATAGGAATTTCTTTAGGCACTCTCTTGACTGCTCATCTACAGGTGTCTACTTCACTGTCTCTGCTTTATTGAGTTAAGATCCTTTATGACAAGGAATGGTGTGTACTGATTAATCCTTGTTCATCTTTTCTAATGATAGGTGTTAAATAACAAATGGCATTTTTTCATATATGAAATACATGGTTAACAGAAAGCTATTTGCCTTTAATAGTACCTGGAATGTTGAATAGAAATCTTCTTCAACATTGCCTTCATATGATAGGAGTTCACTTAACCCATGGGCCAACTCCTGTAAAAAGAAATCTGTTACCCGTGTTTTTAAATCAAATAACGTTACCTAAAATAGTTAAGCACGTCCACTTCAGTTAACTTACATGTGAGTAGAGTCGATACACTCCGATTTTGAACTAAAGGTAATATTTGGGATATATTTTCCAAGGAATGTAATGTTTGTTAGTGATTTCTACGACATAAAAGGCTTGGAAAAACTCACTAGAAAAAGTCATATAAGAGGAAAACATCCAGTTGAGATGATGGGGGCATGACTCTGGGATCTGTTCTTAGGTAGCAAGAGTGCAGTTTCCATAGTAAATCACTGCTTTCTGCAACATTACTACTTACGAATTTGTAGTATTTAAAAAATCTGCTGTATTAGGATTCATCTTTTAAGCATAAATACACACAGTTCATATATGTTAAGTGGTTCCTACATTTGTTACAGTGCTCTCCTCTGCCCCCCAAAAGTGAGAACAGTGGAAGAAATAGTTTCCTGTAACTCATGTTATCCATGAACAAATATTTACAAACAGAAAAATTAATGCATTATTAAAAAATGTTTCACGTTTTATGAAAAACATTATAGTTTAATTTATTTTAAATTATTAGAAGAAAAGGTAAACAACAGAATAGTTAGATTTTACATACATAATACATTTTCCATTCCATTAAAGTCAGAAAATTTTATACAAATCTAGGCTGGCACAGATTTGGTATGCTTGTCATCCTTCAATTATTAATAAAAATTATGGATGCTGAAAATTATAATTGGGAGTTTGAAATTTTTAAGAACTCCAGGGACTAGTAGGTGAACCCAAGGGAAAGGACTTCTCATCTTTCAGAGGTGAAACTTTTAATGACAAAGTTAATAGGTCATGAAGTTATATATTCAGATCTGTTTTATTTAGGACTACAGGCCCTTTATTTCCAGACTTTGTAGTTTCAAACCCCTATTTTTGTGGAGAATTTTTTTTTTTACCTGTACTGTCAGTCTTAGACTCTTAACTATAATATACTATTTAATGATTTTTAATGATTTTGTAAACGTGTAATTAAAAAAGAGTATGTGAAGATACTGAATACTATTTTTATATACCATTTGAATACCCTGGGCTTGTTTAATACAACATATTCGGGAGTGACTTAAGCAGAAGAGATATTACAGTTGCTGATTCAAGGTTATTCTGGACTCTCTTCTATTCTCATCTAACACCCTCAAGTGTAATTTTCACAAGACTGTGTTGGGAAGATTTCTTATTGTTGCCACTGGACAATTCTAGTGCTTTGTCTAAGGAAACAGTTGAGTATTACTGCACTTATTACTGTATTTATTAACAGCACACACTAGGCTCCATCGTTGAATATTTCACTTACTTTCTGTACTTTTCATCCTGTGTTCACATATACTGTCCTTAAATTAAGAAACCGGTCTACTTCTACATGTTTCTCTTTGCTTTCCTGTTACTCTTCTTAGAAACATACAGTGTACAAATGGGTAAACAAAGATTTGAATAAAAAAGCATTAAAAATTTTTATGGATATATTTACCCCATGTGAAATGGAAATTAGGTAGCAACATTTAATAGGTGCTATTAATAAATAATCCATTCATAAAAATTAAAAAAATTACCCACATTCCACTACTCTAACACAGCAGTTTTTCTACATCCTTTTAATCTTGATTAATGCATGTATAGAAACTTAATTTCTTCTACAGCTGATCTCCTGGTATATGCAGAATCTTGATTCATTAAAGAGCCAACATAAGAATATGAAATTAGTGCAGTGGAATCTTCAGCTCCATAATATAAAACAATGTTTTGGTATGGTTATTCATAAAATATCCATTATTATTGACAACAACAATAAAATTGGACCTAAATGAGCCAAATCTGAATAACTTTAATCATAAAATTAGGCAATTTATTGGCCAAAACCAGTAATAAAATGAGAAGACTGGTAACAAATTTGACAAAAACTGGATATGTGAGACAAAAAAAATCACAAAAATCTAAAATGAGACAGTAACTCAGATATCAGTCTACTCCCAACATTTTACAGATAAAAAATTAAGTGAATCATCCAGAGTCATAGCTAGTGTGTTGCGGATACAAGACCATAAAAGGGAGACCTTTCAGTTTCTTAATCAGATCCTACTCTATTAACTTGAGTAAACTCTCATATCATACTTTTTTTTCTAACTACTAAGTCTAATAAAAATGTGGTTTTATGCTCTTAATTGAAAATATCCCAAACTAACTTCCAAAAATGTGCCTTGTATCAACCCACTGAGGAGTATAAAGAGTAGTTTTCTAACCAAACACGTGTTCTGGACGCGTTTCTCAACTTTCACAGGAAGGCGCCAACCCTGCACCAAACTCATCGGGCCATTAAAACACCGGGGTATTTAGATAGGAATACTTAGCAACAGAGATTCTCCACATCTAGGCTATTTGCCAAAGACTTTACTGAGAATTTCCTGCTGACCAATAGTTACGAAAACTCAGCTGTAAAAAACATGATCATAGGGGTTTGTCAGAAGGATATGGATAGTATCCACTCCTCTACTAAATTTTAATCTTGGATTAAATCTGATGATCAGAAATCTAATTTCTGAATTGAGGAATGTTGTAAGAGACAGTACCATGAAATTCATTTGTTGTCTTCATTTTAGAGACATTTTTGCAGATACTATTAACGATACTGCACAGTATCACCTTAATAAGAATCCACAGAAGTAATCAAGTACCAAGAACTTTATTATCCCATGTAATCCCCCATATATAAGTTTTGCTATCCCATTGTTCACATAAGGAAACTAGAGTTCAGAAAGATTAAACAACCTATCCAAGTTCACAGGACTGTTAAGTGGCAGAGCTCACTTCAAAGCCTGTTCCACTATGCTGCAAGAGCTTAGGGGTGCTGCAAAGTGGGTGATGTGTCTCTGAGGAAGGAGAAAGACGAAAAAGGAGATGGGTTCCAAAGGTAGAGAGAAACCATATTTAAAAGTAAGAATAGCATTAGAAGGATAAAGGCTTCAGGTAGAAGAGAGATGATTTAGCATTAAGGAATAAGATGCTAATGACTTTATACTTACAGGCATAATTTGACATAAGTCGTCAGTGGTCACACTGCAGATGCCTACTGGTGTATTCTGATCACTAGGAATGATGGGAGGGCTCAACAGTTTCTTGTAACAGCAGGGGGGGAAACGAATATCCAAGGTAATGCTGTTATAAACAGCTAGTCCCATAAGCTATGCATACTGAATGTTAAGCATTAACATAAAATCCATGACAACAAATGAGTTTTGAATTATGCATCAGTATATTTCTTGCACAGTTTTTTCAGATCTAACACCGACTTTAATTAATCCCACATACTTCCTTTCCTTTATTTTCCATAATATAATTCCTTGATTACCAAAAGTCATGTGAAAAGAGGGAAGGGTTCAGGTGGCAGTATTTGACGATTTCCCTAGAAAAATTCATCTAAGATCATAGTAGATAACAACTTCAGACATTTCATAAATTGTTTAACATACAAGGAAACATTTTCTAAATTTAAACAATTTTGGTGATTTTATAAGTAGCAGCAATTTATTCAGAACTCGATGCAGAACACACTACTAATTCTGGTGATCATTTTGCTATTTTAAAACTAACTACAGACTATGTAAAGACAGCTGAACTGAGTAAACCATATGGATACACACACACAAACGCACACACATGCTACTGGTAAGCTAATAAGACAATCAGTTTCCTACAGAAATAGTTGAAAGGGCTTTATTACCTGGGGTTTACTCAAAGTGCTGAAGTTAAAAAGCTATAGATGTTTTTTAATATCTAAACCCTGCCCCACTATATATTATTTATTACTTATATGGAAGAATTTAACTTATCCATTTGCTGAAAGAGGTTTTTAAAAAATTTTTTCAATGTTTATTAATTTTTGAGAGACAGAGAGACAGAGAGAGAGAGAGAGAGAGAGAGAGAGAGAGAGCGCGCGCGCATGCGCACAAGCAGGGGAAGGACCGAGATAGAGACACAGGATCCAAAGCAGGCTCTGGACGGTCAGCACAGGGCCTGACTTGGGGTTTGAACCCATGAAAAGAGGGGTTTTAAATGTCATATTTCAACCGTCAAATAAAGACTACTATATCAAGTTATTAAGGAAATCATTAATTTTATAGGCTCAAAAGGAAATCTAAACATATGGGCTGGCTAAATTACTGAAAATCATTTTTAGAAATTGGAAGGGGCGCCTGGGTGGGTCAGTCGGTTAAGCATCTGACTCTTGATTTCAGCTCAGGTCATGATCTCACAGTTGTGAGATCGAGCCCCAAGTTGGGCTCTGCACTGAGCACAGAGCCTGGTTAAGATTCTCTTCCTCTTGTGCATGTGTGTGTTGTATGTGTGCATGTGTGTGCTGTCTCTCTCAAAAAAAAAAATGTTTTTTTTTTGTTCTGTTTTTTTAAAATTTTTTTTCCAACGTTTATTTATTTTTGGGACAGAGAGAGACAGAGCATGAACAGGGGAGGGGCAGAGAGAGAGGGAGACACAGAATCGGAAACAGGCTCCAGGCTCTGAGCCATCAGCCCAGAGCCCGACGCGGGGCTCGAACTCACGGACCGCGAGATCGTGACCTGGCTGAAGTCGGACGCTTAACTGACTGCGCCACCCAGGCGCCCCATCTCAAAAAAAAATGTTTAATCGGAAGACAAGCAGTATTTCAATTTACTAAAGGCAGAACACAAGTTAATAATAATTTAAGGAATAGATACGTTATTTTATAGGTAGCCATATCGACAGAGACTGAGCAGTGTATTCAAGGGACAGATAGTGAAAATGAGCTATAACATACTTCTGTAATTGCGATAATAACAATAATGATAATGACCATAATATACTTATAGTTACCATTTATGATCATCTACCAGAGTGACAAGTTCCAAGCATTTTTGATTAAAAATTTAAAAAAAATCTTAACTCTGAAGGCAGGTTTTTAAGAGTAGGCTCATAAGATTTGCTACAGGGCACTTTCATATGCAGAGTACAGTGTTTCATTTCACAGTAAGTCAGCTGCGCTGGTTGAAGCAGGGGTGAGACAAGGATAGGGAGGTTCTGCTGGGCCACTGAGGGAGGCATCATGTAGTGCAAACAGGGTAGGGTTTGAATACCATGCGTCAATGCCCTTTTTGGTAAAAGCCATTCTAGTTTTTAAAAACTGGTATACTATGGCTCTTCATGCAATCTTCGAAACATTTTTATAATTATTGTTATAGGTTTCCCTATAACATTTCTTGTAAACTCCAAAGCCTTACTGTATATAAAAATGAACTATTTGGAATGCAATGCTGTCAGAACTACTAGCACAACAAATCTTTGGAATTGAAATTTATAAAGTGAAAATACGTTATAGAACCAACTACATCTTCTCAATTGTCATGTGTGTTCTCAATTTTTACTTCTCCTCACCTTTGGTAGATCTCTCACCTACGTAGATGATCACAATCCATGTGATCTCACAACCATCTCACATTTTTCCTATATATTATCGTGCTTTTTGGGCATCAATCTCACTTTCCATAGTTTTGTCATGTGTGTGCATGTGAGATAAAGACACATAATAATGAGATAGTAGTGGCTATAATAATTTAATTTAGATTTAATAAATTAACTTGAAATATGCAGCATATGTAAATATGCTTACTGTGCTTGCTCTTTTGGGTAATGATTGGATAGAAACTAATGCCTATTTGCCAAAGAAGCTAATTAGTAAGCTCATGACTTAATGTATAATACCATTCTAAAAATGTGATGGCTAAGTAAGCTCTAATACTTCATTATAAATATTAGAAAGTCAAAATATCACCCAAATCTAAGCTGTGATAAGAATGTAAAGTATAATAAACATATATATCAGGGAATTCAAATAGCTCATACTCATAGTATAGTGAGAAGCATCTGTGACTCAGGCCTTCAATGAAACTGGAACGTGCAACAAATGATTACTGTAGATAATACAAAATAAAACCATAGGTCTAAGAACTGGTAAGCGTTCTATTTTGTGGAACTTGGCACTTCAGACCTTTGGACATAACAACATATACAAAATTTCAAATCAAGTTTATTCTCTTAATGTGTGGTTTTCTCCCTACTACCTTTTCTTCCATCTACTCTCTCAGTTTTAATATACAATCCTCAGGATTTATTACAAGTATAAGAGACATTCCAAGCCCTCTCTAAGGTCATTCCTGACTGCTGAAGGTGTCCTCCCTAACTCCTGGGGTGCCCTCTGCTTCAATCAAGGCCCCCCACACTGCTCTGTAACAAGCCCAGCACAATGCAGCCTGTTTTCTAGCCATTCTCCCAGTCACTCCAGCCCTGTGCTAATCAGATAGAATGGTTCCATTTTCAAATCTCTATCTTGTCTGGGAAGAATACACTGACCCTTCCTTCTCCAAACTCCTTACCACTTCGTGTCAAATAATCATGTGACTCTGAGAATTGATGACCTTGAATTGGTGGTCATCTGCCCATCTAGAGAACCTTCTTAAAGGTGGATATTCTTCTCTCTTTTAAGCTAGTTATCTCCAGTGCTAGCTCACTTATTTACTCTTCCCTCCTTTCTTCCACCGACGATTATATTTCTTAGAATTAAAAGAGCTAATGCGGTAGGTATCTTTTCCAATCTCCTACCCAGTGCAGGAATGCCACCTTCAATACACCGGAGAAGCATCAGAGGATGGCACAGAGGATGTAAATTAATTTACATAATTAAAAAAACACTTTAAATAACAACATATACTTTAAATATTCCCACTCTATTCAATTTAAAATTTTTATGGATGTCTCAGGATTTGGGGGAATATTAAAGACGTAGATTTAATTTCCACAATTTCAATTTATTAAACTCAGTGAAATAAGCACAAGGTAAAAGAACAGAAAAACAGTTCATTATGAATGGGAAAGATACTTTTGTTTTAAAAATATCTTAATTTTCTAATAATTTAAATAATATATGAAACAAGAACTGTTTTTATTTTGAGATCATGTTTTCAGAGAAAAATATAAAAAATTCATAATTCCTTTCAATTAAGTCTGCTGACATATAACTGTGATATACTGTGATACTGCAAATGATTAAAAGTCTATTAGCAAATTTGACAAGAATATTTAATCTGCAAGACTTAATGAGAAGTTTTCCAAAATTCTGATAAAATTTAAAATTTCTAGTCTACTAGCACCTCCTAGTGGAAAGTTTAAAGGATACAATTCCAACCAATCGGAATTCAGAATAGTTATCACATTTAAAACTGCTAAACCAATGGCAGTGTGAATCCTTGTGATATGTAAACATGCCTGGAAAAAAAAAAAAAAGAAACATTTCATTAACATGACTGATTAAAAAAAATCAAAGTACTAAAAATGTACATGATATCTCAACTATTAGAAGCAAAACATTTCAGCAACAGTTATTGTTATAAACCATCTTTCATGGTAAAATATATAAAATATATACACAAAGAGTGTGTAAGAACCTTTTACTGTTTATTGGTATCTTGAACCAAGGGTATATATGCATTAAAAAGATAGAAACTAAATTAACCAGTTGATTTTCTTTTATAAAAACAACAATGTATAATTTATAAGTTATGATCAAAATTAATTATGAGGATTATCTGGAGATTTTAATTTATCCATGTCATCTCTATTTTCCATTGCCAGAAAGAGGTTATATCTACATATATACAAAATAAAAAGTAAGAAAAACACTTAAAACTGTTTGAAGAAAAATATTTTATAGATACTAAGGACTGTATAGGTGTTTTCTCTAAATAAAAAATAAAATTTAAATTTCAAGTTTACTTTTGTCTTAAAAAATTAATGAATTCTTATTTATGAAAATGGCTCACAATCTAACGAAAAAGCCCTCAGCTATTAGTGTAAAGCAAGCTGCCATCTTGTTTCTAATTCTGAATGTTCTTTTTTCAATGACAAATTTTCATGAGTTTGATTTATTCAGGAAAGAGGTGGATGTTGCCTTGCAAATATATACTTACAGTCTTTATACATTTTGTATATGATTCCCAGTAAGGTAACAAACATTTTGATCATCAATTTGGTCACTTTTAAAAATATAAACAAAAATCCTTAAATTATTCAACATTTTTGGTTGATAAAAAAAAAAAAACAAACAAACAAACCTATAAAGTCATAGGGTAGGTGAAAAATAAGTCACTACTTGAATCTAACAATTATGAAGAAACACCAGTTCATAAAAATTAAATGCTCACCATAATCTGGATGAAAAATTTGGCGAATTAGAAGAAGGAACCATTCTTTGGTCAAGCCACCCATATCCAAACCAGCTTCCCCTACAAACGTAACTTTCAACTTCTTTTTTAAGTCTGCTCTTTTCCGGGTTAACTATTTGAAGAAATTATATTATAGAGAAGAACAAAGAGCAGTAAAAAGGAAATTAACTTTTTCAATTCTGGGAAATGTGGTAAGCAATCTTTATCTTTCTTTACAATGTCATAAAACTCACTCCATTCATCCATTCATCCAGTAATTTGTCAGATACTACGTGAATTAAGCATTATTATGTCTGTCATATAGATGAAGAGAAAGATTAAGAGAGATCAAGTACTTTGCCCAAAGTTACTGTCTCCTGGGTTCCTACACTGCCTCCAAGATTTTAATTTAACAGGTTATATCATAAAATAATTAATTTCCTTTTCTTTAACTTTCCTTCCTGATTTTAAAAATCACATAATGACATCAGCCATTATCTTATAACAGCCACATGAAGATCTGGCTGAAGCACTGTAAACACATGAAGCTCTGTAATATACACACATACATACAATCAAAGTACCTCTGAGCCTGAGTATACTTAATATACCCTGTAGGTCAGACCTCTATAGATGAGTAATCTCAGGCCTGGAGAAGTTAAAATGACTTGTTACCCACCCAACCAGTAACAAAGGTGGGTCTAGAATCTAAGTTACATATTCAGAAACACGAATTACTCATTTTCAGTGTTCAACACAAAATCCTTTTCTGGGGAGTTAACAACAAACCATTAAGAAACATAAATAATGAACATAAGGCTTAATTGTGAATACACGACTGATTTTAACTATGGTATCAAAATATAAGGATGCACACCTACCGACATACAGAAATGAAAAACAGATTACTAAGATTTCAGTAATACACCATGTTGTAGAATTTACTTAAAGTTTTAATCAATTAGTTCCATGTTGGAATAAATGATCTATACCTCATCAAGCGAATCACTAACCAGATGTGTCCGTCTTACTTTCATATTTAGAAATAGCATGTTCATATCAGGTCTCTGTCTTCGAGATACTTTATCCACCAGACTTTGCTGATTAAAAAAGAAAAGCAAACATTTTACTTTTTAGTTTTTACTTAGACTATAATTTCATTTAAAACATTTAAGCACTTGACTAAAAATCAGTTGTATCCTTCTCTATGCCCTCTCTCATATAAATATTTTCATAAACTCAATTATACAAATTATTATTATTATATATTTATATATTTTTTTCATTTTGAAATAATGATAACCAAACGGGGTCCAAAAGGGAGGACCAAAAATAATTCACCTTCTATAGTAAAGTATGTTGCATATCAGTTTCCATATGTCTCATCTTTTAAACGGTAAGTCTTTCTGTCCAATAGATACAAACAAAGTGGGAACATTTGAAATGAGGTACATACTACTGATGACAAGCTTGGCTTAAGCTTTTTAAACAGTACTGAATTTACTCTAAAAGCACAATTAGTCTACTTTTAGAAAATAATAGTCAACATTTATCAGAAACATTAATAAGGTCCATACCCTTTGTCCCAATAATTCCAATTCTGGGAATTCTAAACACAAAAACTATTTTATACAGTGAGATGTTCATCACAGCATCACCTATAAAAGTGGAACTTTAGAAATATTCTATATATGAATTTACATAATGGAATCTAATACTATTAAAATGGATGGTTATAATTATATAAATACCATGAAAATATTCAAGAAAGGTACAAGTGAAAAAATACGGGAACAAAACTGTGTATACAAAATGGTTTCAACTCTATTGCCTTTTAAAAATAATACAGAGAAGGAATAGCAGAAGAAAATTTACCAAAATATTAACAATTGTTATGTTTGGCTAATGGAAATGTAATTTAAAAAAATCTTTTTTTCATGGTTTTTCAAAATATAAGTAATGAGTATGTAAAAAACATTAAAGATATCTATTAGAAATACATAAATATTTATCATATAGCATCTACAAGCTTGTATAATTTATTTAATTAATTTTATATAATTTATCTAAATAATTTTTATCAGACTACTTCATCTTCTTTGGTAGCAAAGGAAAATTACAGACTAGAGATGAACATTTCAGATATTTTAAATACATGCAGCAAAGTGCTTTAGTAGATAAAATTTTAATACCAAAAATCTACATAACACTATACTCACGATTTTATAGATTACTATAATAAAACACTCTAATTCAGAGCACTTCATCTCTGTATTTCCAATTCTAAAGACTTTTCCTTTTTATTTTTGTTTCCTATTTTAGAAATTTTATTCTTTTTAAAAATTTATTTGTCTAAGTGATATAACGTACAGCATAGGGAATATAGTCATGACACTGTAAAAACTTCATATGGTGACAGATGGCAACTAGACTTATCATGGCGATCATTTCATAATGGGTAAAAATATCGAATTACTATGATATACATCTAAAACGAATAGGATGCCGTTTGTCAGTTATACTCCAATTAAAAAAATTATTATTTTTTTTAGTTTCACATTTACAGGGTAAATATTAGTTAACATACAGGGTAATATTAGTTTCAGGTGTAGAATTTAGTGACTCATCACTTATATACAAACCCAGTGCTCATCACAAGTGTCCTCCTTAATGCCCATCATTCATTTAACCCATCTCCTCCAACCTCCCCTCCAGCAACCCTCAGTTTGTTCTCTATTGTTAAGAGTCAGTTTTATGGTTAACAATAAACCATAAAACCACGTTTTATGAACCACGTTCATTTGTTTTGTTTCTTAAATTCCAAGTAGGAGTGAAATCACATGGTATTTGTCTTTCTCTAAAGGTTTTTAATAGTGTTTTTCTTCCTTCCCTGGGTCTTCCCTTTGATACTCAAAAAGATCTATACTCCTGGGGTAGTATCCTACTGTCCTCTTTCCTATGTTCTGTTCCCAGTCTAGCTCCTGGAAAGCCATAGCTCTGGAAATAATCCGCAAACAAATTTATACTAAGATGCTAATGGTAGACAAGGTTTAGTGGCTACTCCTCCCATCAGGAACTAATATTTAATAGAAAATACTTCAAACAAAAGAAGAAACCCCCAAATGGTAGAATTTGGGACACAGTCTGATGAGGAAGTTATTTTTGTTGGGCAATCTCTTTCGCAACTTCAGATAAGCTCTTGTTTACATTAACTACTTGTAAGGCTGTCTGTCCTTGGGTCAAAATGATCACCAGTCATTAATTCCAAGTGGTGTGACAATTTACAAGTTAAAATGTTGGGAAACACCCATAGTAACACATAATTCCACTTAAGTCTTCGATCTCTACTCATTTGTGTCCATTCTCTGTGGAAGACGCCTGTGACAGCGTCTACAGCTGCCACTCTCCTTTTAATTAGAAAAAAGTTCCACAGAAGATACCTGATGTTTCAAAAATGAGTGCCACAGCAGAAAACTGCTCAGAGGAACTAAGGGAAACTTCTAGCTATTTCAGACTTTTTGTTTTTACAAATGTACAAAATCATAGCCCTAGGCAAAAAAAAGTACTAAAATTGCATAAAATTGTAACTATTGGCTGCATTTATGTTCTGTTCCCAGTCTACCTCCTGGAAAGCCATCACACTGGAAATATCCAGCAAACCAAGTTATACTAAGATGCTAATGGGAGACAAGGTTTAGTGGCATGAAATTGCATAAATGCAACTAATAGAAACTGCCAAAATGAGTAGCTCTATAGACTAATATTTGAACCAATATCTACCTGAGATTAAGTAATAATTCTGATGCCAAATATACCTGTTTAAATTTACTTTTCAGGGGGGTTGGTGGCTTTGGAACTCCCTTGGTACACACAGGCAAAAACGTTTCTTCTAATATTCTCATAGTCAGTGTAAGCTGACTCTGGGGTGTCACCAGTCACTCAAATCTTTTGTCCTGCTCTGTGACAGAAAAAAATACTCACCTTCTGGGAACTGAATTACTTAAAAATAAACATTTCTTATTTTTAAAAGCATTTTGAAGTATTATAAATTATACTTTAGAATTGTTTTTATATTCTTGGAGAAGACATGGAAATCATTTCTTTTTTTTTTTTTTTTTTTTTT